ACTTGTGACAGCATCTGAGAATCCCTTGGTTTGTCTTCAATTTGTTTCTTAAAGGGGTTGTGTTTTATACTACCTTTTTAATAAACAAACTGGTGAACAGAACAAGTCTTTGCTGATTCGTTCTGAGATAATGTATTTGTCTTTTTTCCCCTCGGTAGAAGATACAGTAGCCTTTGGTGCACAGGGATTTTTATAAAATAAATGTGTTAACAAGCCAGAGCTTTCCAGCTGGATCCAGTAGACGTGTTGCTGGAACTGTAAGTGGGATATGGTATCTGTTCCCCATTTGTGGGTTTTGTCTTCTTCCTGGCTTGGTGTGTTAATGGACCTGCACAGATATAAAGGAAGTAGAAGGGATGATTGCAGACAGCATAGTTATAAATGAGATTGTGGGGTTTTTATTTGTTAAAGACAAGTAGAATTTCAATTTTGATTCTCAAAAATAAAGATTTTTTTTTTTTCAATTTTGTTTTCTTCAAAGCTTTGACACTACGCTTAAAAAGCACTGGAAATCAGTTGCTCCATTCCTGTACTGAAGAACAGGGATTATAATCCCATTTTACCCAGTAGATCCTTGTAGGAGCTTTAAACTGATTCCATTTTAACAACCAGCCAAGTGCTTTAACTGCCAACCTGAGAGGGAATTTTTGAATGAGATCTTGAAAAGCTTTAGCAGAAGAAATCTCTGCTGTATGAGCTAGTTTAGAAAAGGGGATCAAAGAAGGAGTGATGGAGATGTTGAGGGCTCTTGCCCTGCTGATGGACTGGAATCCAGTGTGTCTCACAATGAAAATGTGTTTATGCAAAGAGTGTGTCAATAAAAGACTAAGCACCATCACGGGAATCTCAGCCTGGTAGTTAAGTTGGTCTGGGAGATGGCAGAGGGCGGATTCATATGTATTTAGGCAGAGGGAATTGAATTGTGCTCTCCTGCTTTCTGGATGAGTAAACAAACTCCTAAACTGCTCTATAAAACATACAATGTCACCAGTTTGGTGACTCTAGTTCCCAAGGTGTTTTTTCCAGCTGAGACTGGCAAGTTTGACCCTGTTTCAGCATTTCTGGAATGACTGCAATTGGGTAATTTTGGTAAACTTTCTATTAAAAAACCTCCAAACTCTTATTTCCTGCTATAGCCCTTGAAGAACAAGAATATTTTTATTTTCTGAAGCTTTCTGCAGTCATTTAAACAGATCCAGTGAAGAAGAGAGAGAAAAACAGTTATCAAGTTTTTCTGGATTGGAGGCAGGTCCTCCTTTCCTTCTTGTAGATGTTGCCCACATAATACTGAATATGTCCTAGCCTGGCATAGGAAAAACCTTTATCATCCTGGCTAAGTTTGGCTGTCTGCCATAACTTCATCATCCTACTCTAAACTCTTCCAAAGTCCACAGTCCTCTTTATTGTGTACACATTGTCATTAAAAAGAAAAAAAAAAAAAAAGAAAACAAACCAACAAACCCAAACCTACTTACAATCCTATTTTCCTCATTCCTGAAACCTCCTAACCTGGTTGACTTGTTGGAGTGCATTTCATGCATTCTTAGCAGATAGGCTGAAGGAAACGCCTTGTTCACGCGCAGCTGGAGGCTAAAAAGTGTGTGAGGAGTTCATGAACGTGGCTTGTCTCCTGCTGCAGTTGCTGCAGAGCACACAGAGCCTGCCGGGCCCCGGGAAGGATCCCAAACCTGCTGGACACACCATGACCATCCCGCACCCGAAACATCTCCCTGGTGTGACACCGCTCCTGACAGTGAGTTAAGGTAGGAGAACTCAGGGATAATTCCAACCCACGTTCACTGACTTTCTCAAATGTTCCCTTATTTGTTCCCTTATCTCTGGATGAAAGAGAATGCCTGCTTGTTAACTTGTTGCTTAATACTTGGGAAGTGGAAATTTTTTTAATTTGTTTTTAAAACTGGTTTGAGCTACCTGAAAGCAAGAACAGAGAGAGTTCCCTGTCTGATGCTCCAGTGATGGGCAATCAGTACTGTGAGCAAGGGTAGGAATGTGAGAGACGTTGTAAAGTATTGTCACTTGTGATGAGCCATCAACAACCATTTCTCTAAAGCCTGTGTTGAGGACACCTCCTTGTCCACCTTAAGGACAAGTAACTTGGACAATTGCTTGCACTATTCTGCCGTAATTAATCCATTCTGAGATCAGTGTGAGGTGAGCTGAGTCTGCTTCATCCTGAGCTCCACTTCTACTCCACTTTGACAACAGTTTGTGGCAGACACAGGTTGGAAGGATTTCTGCCTTCTTTTGAAGACTTCCTGCTGGAAGATGGAAGAATAGGAAGTTCAGGTAATGAAGACAGCGCCACAAATTTAGATCCTGCCTCCTGGGACATTAGATTCTTCATGTGCATATGATCACTGAGGGACTGAGATGTAACCTAGGTTATATCCAGCCTTCCTATGGCTATTTGTTGGAAAGAACAAGAGGTTTTCAAAGGAAATGATAAAACAAAAAAGAGAAAGGTGACCTTTCTTCTTTAAAATATATTATTTTCGCACAAGCTGCTGCACAGCAATAAACAGTGCTAAAGGAGCTCAGAATTAATGTCAAGAGCCAGTTAATGCATGTTAATGAAAGTGGTACAAAGACTGAATGTCTTGCACTGAGTGAGGAACAGGAAAAGTGAACCTCTGGGCCAGAGCTAATGCTCTCTAAATTGTATGTTGATGTGTAGTGTTGGAGCAGTGTAGGAAGAGCTGGTTTGCTGCTTGCTGTTGGGATGGCCTGATGTCCTTTCTCAGGCCATGTGATCACTGATGTCTTCGCCAAGCTTTTGCTGCTTTGGTTGGAATTTTCAATGGCAAGTGCTGGCCTCCAGCTGAGCAATCAGAAGGTTCCTTCACCTAAACAGTGGGTTGCTTTCTAAAACAAGATTGGGAAAAAAATAGTGCCTCTTCCTGTGCCTTGAAGGTCTTCCAGTTGTTTGGCTGCGTTGTGCTAGTTCCTGCTCCCCTCACGGGCCTTGGGAAGGTGCCTGTAAATTAGGAAGAAGTTTTTTTGGTGTAAGTTTTCCATGTCTGGGAAAGTTGGGTCAGTTTTAAAATTGTGAAAGATTATCTTCTGAATCAGATGACTGTTAAAGTATGCCCTTGCATTTCCTGGCTGGTGACCAACCTGAACGTGTCCTGTTCCCATCCCTGTGTTTAGGTGGATGTGAGGCCGGAGCTGGGGCAAAGCAATAGAAATCCCAAGATAAGGACTGAGGAACTCAGGAGTTTGAACACGAGTTGGCATTGATGGCAGGGGATTAGGGCTGGCTGAGCAAGGGACTGTGAAGCAGGGAGAACTGAACAGAGCACAAGGGAGAGGGAGATGGAGGTAACAAGCAAAACTAGACGTAGAAGCAAGTGATAAACATGGACAAGAAGTTTGTAGTTGAAGGATTAAAATGGTGATAGATTGTGGTTTGATAACCTTAATCCTCATATTTCTTGATGCCTGTATACTTGGTTTTGCAGCCTGAACAGTATTTTCATGTGTAAGAAATTCTGAGAAACCATCTGAAGGCAGCATGCACAGGCTCTTCAGGGTGTTCTTTGAGACACAGATGAGTGCAATGTTTATTGGGAAGCTTCTGGGGATTGGGGGGTTTATGACTAGGAAAGAAATCAGATAAATGCTAGGAATAGGTTAAGCAATGCTGCATATTGCAGGGTTAGCTGGATGGAAATATAAATCAAATGATTCATTAGGTTTTGCATGGTACAACTGGCTATTGGCCAAAGGTTTGCCTGGTCTCTGAAAAATAACAGGCTTCTTTTTGCTACCAAGGTAAATTGATTATGCTATGCAGTGTCATGAGCTGACAATGAGTCTGGAAAATTGAATAGAAGCAGCAGGCACTTCTCACTGCATTTGTAGCCTGAGCGTTGCTAAATATGATTCTGATTAAGGCGGGACGTGTGAGCCGTGGTTGGGGAACTTGTTCCCCTGCGGCCAGAAACTGCACAAATGCATGAAAATGATGCTTCTCCAGGGCAAGCAGTGACATTCCTTGTCCTACTCTTACCATATCTGGCAGCAGATATTTTTTAAGGAGAACAAAAAGGACTCTTATAGTCTTCTGATGACTTCCTGCAAACTATTTTAGTGTAGTTCCTGCCTTAAATCTGTAACTTTGGGTTGGCCCACAGTGTGTGTTTCAGCAGTCTTGCTACCAAAGTTTTAACCAACTGGCAGACCCATCATATTCTGAGGTAAATTGTTTCAAACAAAAAAGATTATTTGTTTGGCTTTGGGTTTGTTTTTTTTTTACTTGAATTTGTCATGATTTGAATTTCTAATAATTTAATCTGAGTGTCTTTTTCTAACAGGTGAAGCAACGAATTACTCTCAGAAGTCTTTTTGTTGTGGAGGTCTGTGCTGACAGTGATCAAGGTACTTCAAACTTTACCTTATCTAAAATTATTATTTTCAGCTCTAATTAGTGGTGGAGTTTTGGTTTTTTTTGTTCTTCTTGTTTTGGTTTGGTTTGGGTTTTTTTCACTGTGTCAGTATGTTTTTGAACCATACAAAAACCAGAAATGGACGAAGCATTTTGATATGTTCACTCTGAACTTCATTCAGTGACAGTGCCACCTCTGAATTACTTTTTAAGTGCTTCAGTTATTCCAGCACTGCTCTATCCTGAGGGCACATTTGCACAGCAGTAGGTCCTAAGGCCAAGGGTCACGGTGAGAAATGACAGCTGGTAGATAGATGTGCCCATTTTGCCCAAGTATTCCATGTTAAAAGTAAATAATAAGGAAATCAGTAAAGCAAAGTGCATGGAAAAAGCAGAAACCCAGATAGAGAATCTAATCCTACTAGCACAGTTCTTCTGGCCCTACCATTTTCAGGAGGAAGATGGGCTCACCACTGACTGGCCACTTTAAGCTGAATATTATCGCTTTGACCTGTCTGGGTTTGTTTGGTTTGGTTTTTGGTTTTTGTTTTGTTTTGGTTTTGCTTTTTTTTTCAGGAGCGATTGGTTTGTAAAAATGGAAGAAACAAGGAAGCTCTCTCCAAAGCCATGTAAAAGCAAAGAAGCTGTGAAAACAGAGTGGGGATCTCAGAGTGTTGTGTTTACCTATTTCCAAGGGGATATTAACAGCGTAGTAGATGAACATTTTTCCAGAGCTCTCAGCAATGCCAAGAACCCACAAGACCTGAGCACAAAGCACAAGGGTGACAATGTTGTCCTGAAGAATGGTGAGCCACTTTCCATGGTGTTGGATGGGGGTGACTTTCTTTCACTAAGGAATTTAAGATCTGGTGAGCTTAAATTTGGAACTGTGTGCAAATAGAAAGAATGAAAATCATACTTGTAAAGTCCTGGATTATGTAACAGGGACCTCCTGGGTAAATCCCTGTGCTTGCTGAGGTGATTCCCAAATTCTCCATAGGCCTGTTGGCAGGACTAGGTCATCATTTTCCAGCCAAGTGTGGCCATCACTGTCAGATGCATTAAATGCATTATGACTTAAGTTGTTGTCTTTGCAAAAATGTATTTGTTTAAGCATACAGTTGTTAAAAAACCTGCCTATGCCAGTGATCTGTAAGAAAACACACGTAATACTTATTTGGAAGTATTGGTGGTGGTGGTTTAGTCTGCTTTTAATATTAATTTAGGGTTGTTTTTTAAGATAAGCAACACTAAAGTGAATATATCTTTCCGTAAAAATGAATATGCAATCTGGTGGCCTTCCCTTAGAAGTCCATTGGAATTTGCCTTAGGAAAAAGTAAGAATTGATGAGACTTCAGATGCTTTCTCTCTCTTTTTAAGCAGACAGCATGTCTCCCCATCAGTGGAATTTCTCATCACATTGCTACAAACCGTATCCGTCATCTTCCGCCACGAGCATGTCAAATTCCGGCCTGAATTTTTCTGCTGCCGGTCTGGGAGGCCAATACCAGCCACCGGCTCTGCGCAGTCACCCAACTCAACCCGCAGATCTGTGGCCCTTCCCTTCCATTGGGTCTCCCGGTGTCACCAATTCCATGTATCATCCTGCCCTGCCCAACCTGCACGTGGTGGATGAACCCATCTCTGACAGGAAATACGGTTCTCTCCTTGGCCTCCTGCAACAGGAAAGGTGCCTGACATCCATGCAAGAATGCACCGTGAAGCAACACTCGAGTTCTGCTTGTGTGACTGGACCTGCTAGGTTACAAAATATGAGTCAAAGTTCAGCTCCTGGGGGAGGTAAGAAAATACTTACTATCACTTTATTCTTTGATGGCATCTTATGTAAAGAGTCAAAATAATACAGTCTGTTCCTAAGCTTCTCAAATTTCAATAGGTAACCATGATGTGAGCTGTGGTACTCAGGATTGATTAGCTGCATAGTATGGTTTAATCAAACAATGTGCATTGCCTACTCACACAGTATTTTACCTTCTGGCTTACATTGGGGAGATATTTTAAGTGAATATAAACGTTATTCACAGTGCTATCAGGATCTCTGCCCCATAGGTAGCAGGTATGATGGGTAACAAATGCTCCCTTACTGGGACCTGAAAGGGGTGGTCAGGAAAGATCCCTGGACAGCCTCACTGTGCAGGGTGGTAATGATGTTCTGAATACAAGATGGGAAGCTGCAGCCCTTACCAGCATGGTCGGGGGTTTTCTGCCTCCCAGTCTCTGTCTGTAGCTGGAATGACGAGGGTACAGGGGCTGGAGGGCCAGCCTTGCCTTGTCTCCTGGCTAACTGCTGCCTGCCATGAAGCACTGCTGCCCTGCCTGTCAGAGGCTGTGTTTGCTCCCTGCAGATATCCCAGAGCTAATGCAATTCCCACAGAAGTGATGATTGCTGGTTATTTATTATCAACAACTAGTAGGAATACCAATCCTAGGTACCACCAGCACACAGCAGAAAGATGGTGGATGACTGAAATCCATTTCCCAGGAGCTTAGGTCCCCCCAGCAGCTAGATCTGCTGGATAAAATTGCTCCCTTGTGAGTAATTTCTGCCTTTGAGAAGCTGTCTGGGATCAAGCTTCCTGGCTGGAGCCCTGGTGCCCTGTGCCTGCGTTGCTGTTCCTGGGCGTTCCCCAGTCAGGCAGCTCAACACTGGCCTCCAAGAAAAAGGGTTGTGAAATTGTTTAGGGAGTCTGCTGGAAAAATACAGCATGTCCTACTTGGTGCTTCTAGATAAAAAGGACCAGGCATGTGAAGGAGCAATCCTGAGGCTTAGGTTTTGAAAAATAACCAGCTGTGAAATACCTACTGGTTACCCAGTTTCGAAACTGCACCAGCAGTAATTTGGCAGAATGTGAGCTAAAGACTGCCTGCAGGTACAAACAGGAGTTTATCCACAGTTTCTCTTTTGAGGATACACCAAAGCTGTGTTGTTATGAGGACCCCAGCTGTAGGTGTTTTGTTAACTCATTCCTGCTCCAATGTCTGATGCCTGTCTATGTCTGTGCATGGAAAAAGGAGAGTGCTCTGTCTTCAGCTGGAATGCAAACTTTCTACTCATGGTACATAGATTGAGCTGAGGCTTTATGTATGTGTTGCACAGGTACTCATTCTAGTCTTTTTGCCTAATAAATGACAGTCTAATTACTTTAAAGACATTGCCTGTACTTCTAGGATTTAATTTAAGAACAAGGTTAGGGTGCCCTCTTCCCCCAAGGGGGCAATGTGAGCCTATCAAGGCTTGGAAACCTCAAGAAATGACTCCTCCAGAAAAGAAGATGTTTCATGAAAGTAGTCTTGGGGTCAAAACAGGGAAGCACTGTTAACAGAAGTGGACATTTTTCCCCAAAATTTCAAAAAGAAAATGAGTGGGGAAAAACTGAAAAGGAAATTAAACAGCTCAGTATCCCCCAGCCATGGTCTTTTCTTTTGGGATGTTTACAGGGCCTTTCTGAATATTCAGGGAGCCTCTTAACACCACATGTGTAACACCACACATGTACTTATCAAACAAGAAGGATTGATAAGAAATGGCTGGTCCACGTTCACAGGGAGTCTTTGGCAAATCCCTCAGATGTGTGCATTTAGTCTGGCTGTGGCAGTCCCTGTTTCCTGCCTCTATCTGTTAAATATACTTCTTGTGCTGTGTCATGTTTCAGAACAGCTGATATTTATATTTATGGAAGTGTATGTTGCTGCGCCAGACAGCACAGAGCTCCCCAGCACCTGTGCTATAGGCTGGGCTGCAAAAGCACAAGGTTTCTTTAGGAATTACTGTCTACTTTTAGCTCTGTGTTGAATCTCTGCTCATCCCTGGTATTTTTTATGATTTTTTTTTTTTAAGAGAGGAAAGGAAGCTCTTACCAAGACTCAGAAAATCCCAGCGTAAGCCATGCCACTGCAGGTGAGTAATGAAAGCAGCAGGTTTGGAACAAATCAGTGCTCACCTATGAAGGACATTCTTAAATATTCTGCTTATACATGCAGAATTAAAGCTGTTTCCTTGTTTGCTTCCAGGCTGTATTTCAAAAGCTTGTTTTTCCCCAGATAGACACATCACCTCCCATATCTACATTAACAAAGAAGAAGAAAATATTACGTTATATTAAAATGAGATACATGATTTTTTAACCCCATGTACTTTACTTTTTATATCATCAGGCTACCACTTCGTGATGCCTGTTTTTCACTGGTTGTCCAAATTTCAGATCCTAGAAAGATAGACTACCTCTTGATTTGTACCTGAAGCACCTGGCTTCAGGCTGAGGTCCCTGTTGGACCCATGTGCTGGCACTGCTGCAGTTTGCACCAACAAACCCACCACACTGCTAGGAGAGTTGGGCTAAGAAATTACTCCCAAAGCCTTCAAGCTTCCATATTTTTATTAGTCTCTTGAGACTGGGTCATACCCTGGTGTTGGTTCCTTGATGTGCAATGTTTTGGGGATACTTAGGATGGGTCATTCTGGTTATTCTAGTAAGGGCTCTTTTGCTCCAGACCCAAGGGTGCAATTTTGTTTGCACAATGCCTTAGGAGATTGCATGGAATGTGCTGTTTGACTCTACTGATGCTGCTGTGTCTTTCAGGTATTCAGATTCATGACAGAAGACAAGACTTGTACTTTTAGCAAATGGATGTTTCTACTTTATTCTGAAAGAGAAAGTTCTTTCTGTGAACTTTTATTATTTGCAACTGTGAATCAAGAAGAAATGAATTGCAGCTATCCTGTGCTTTTTCTCTCAGCTGGAAGAATACATGTACTATTTACTATTTGGGGAATGAAAAAATCATCTTTTTCTATACAGTAAATAATTTCTAATAGCTGTGGTATTAAACCTGATGTTCATTGTGAAGAAATATTGTCTACTTAAGGCTTTTCATGTAGCCCTCTTGAAAGGACTCTTAGCATTTTTTAATCTTTCTGTGTTTATTCATTTGCCCTCTCTTGATAAGAAGCACAATTATTATCAATGCAGTTGATAACTGATAAGTGCAGGGTTGCAGTTTGCATAAATTCGATGCTGCAGCTTCTTAGCTTGACTTGATACCTCCGGATTGTTTAAAATAGTCTTAGGTCCTGGGCAAGAGACTTCAAGACAACCACAGGTCAGCAAAGCACGTAATCATGTTTATGTTTTGAAAGCACAGCAATTTGTAACCGTACTTGCAATTCCCGTGGATATTCTTTGGAAACTATATAATATGTTTATGTCTGAAGGCTCTGGTTTGCCCTCTCAGTGTTGTATAATCACCCTCTAGAAAGCAGTGAATTCACGCTGGCTCTGAGAGGCAACCTGGATCCTCATTGGGTGCAATTAAAATACCATTGAGCAAAAAGCTGGAGGTAGGAATGCTCTATTTTCCCAGCTTCTCTGCAGGTGTAAAAGGTTCTTTTTCTAAATAAACTCAGTGGAGTTGAATTTTGAATTACCGAGCATGAAGGACTGGGCCAGCTGAAGAAACAGGAGTCAAACCCTTTGTGGTGGCTGCATCCCCCAGACCTCAGAGCAGCTGAACAGAGAGTCTTGATGCTCCTCTGTGCAGCACAAGTGGCAGATTGAACTGTGCATCAAGACTGAAACACACATTCAGATCCCCCCTTGCTTCACCACTCACTCTTGGCAAATACATTTGCAGAAGCTACTGTGAGTAAAACCTCCTGTCTCTAGTGTTTAGGTTTGTGTGTGTGATCCCTGCAGTCAGAGACATTGCTTAGCCTTTATTGTAAATCCTAAGGATAAAAAAGATTTGGGTTTGGTTTTCTCCTTCTCCATTAGCTATATATTAATTTAATATAAAGGAGCATGATTAACTTTTTCAGACAGCTCTTTGCAATTGCTCAAGGAAATTTGACCTTTGAGATCCTGGAGCTTGTCAGTTTGTAGGACAAATCCTGAGCTGGTATAAGTGGTTGTGACTTATATCACATGTCTCTGCTGCCACTTCTCCAGTTATAACACCTTGTGTAATTTTATAAATAATTTTAGTTCAGCAATTTCAGGTGTTTATGGAAGTGACTTAAAAGAAAAATTTTTTAAAATCTCAGCTTGTATCTTGCAAGTTTGCTGTAGCAGATACATGCTCTAGACCAACCTGTGATCACATGCAAGAGGAACAGTTTTAACTAAACCAACAAAAGATAGAGCAACATCCTGTCTCCCTAGAGATGAGCACTGAAAAAAAATTACTGGGTTTTAATATTTCTACAAAATTACCTTTCTTCTGTTTTCATTTTATGAATAGCTCTCCAAGTAGTTTTCTTTTTGTTATCCCAAATCACTTCCCTGATTTTTAAGGCTGTGTGGTAATATAATCAATCTGACTTCCTCTATGGGCTGAAGCCAAGATTTCCAAGCTGTACTTTATACGTCTGCCTTACTGGCATGTGCCATGATTCCATTTAACTTACTGCTTCAAAATAGTGAAATATTATTTTTTTCTCCCTCTGCCATCCCTTCTAAATGAAAATGCTTAAATAATTTCTCTCTGAGGTCTTAGAAGACATATAACAGTGTATTTAAATACTCTTAAAATGTAGTGCTTCACTGAACAGTTTGGCCCTGTGCATGTCACAGCTGGGAATATTCAAGGTGACTTATTAATTCTGTGTTTCTGGTGAATCAACCAAGTGGGGTTGGACAGTGTGGGGGGAAAAAAACCATTGTTTTAAAATGCATGTCCCTTATTGCACACACACGAGGCATCAGTGCTTCTGCCTTGACAGGGTGACGCTGTGAGCCATTGCTGCAAGGTTTGGCAGTACTGTGTCCTCACTGTCCAGCTGTCTGGCAGACCTGGAAAAAGGGAACAAATGTCCAAGAAGCCCAAGGGTGCCTGGGCCCCTTGTCAGTGCAGGCTCCACACTGGGCACATGTGTGCTTGCTCTCTGTCCTGGCTGCTAGAAGAATGATGACACGGTGGAGGGCTGGGGGACAGAGGCTCTGCTGCTCCTGTGTTTTGTCTCACACCACCACAGCAATGTGCTCCAGAGCGTGCTGGGGTTTGTTGGCATCTCTCTGTTCTTCTGCAATAAACACAGTTTTAACCCATCAGCACAACTTGCTTTATGTGACTTAGTATGAATAGGGGTTTGAACATTTCACAGCAGTTCCCTACATTAGGTAGGCTTTTATTTTTATGTGTATATAATATATATGTATATTAAAAAAAACTCTAGACACACACACGTGGTCCTCTAGAATACTTTTGTCCAGAGTGGAGAGTTTCTTGATTTTCAGCTGAGGCTGGTGCTGTGTTCCCACTGCTGTCATGCTCCAGTGACCGTGCCTTCATTCCCATTCCGTCCATGTGCTCTTTTGCTGGGAAGGACTTGGCAGCCAGCTCGCTGTATTCAGCAGCTGCCATCTGGTACTTCCCACAGTTAGTTTTGATCCCTCCTCTGAATGCAGCAGTCGTGGTGGTGATGGGAGAAGGGATGTGGGATGTATCCACTTCAACAGCTCCCGACTCCCCGAGTGCCAGCGCACCTCTGCAGAGACCGCCCAGAAGGACAGGCGGGGGCCGGGTGTTACATCCTTGGAAGTGTTCAAAAAGCATGAGGAGGTGGCTCTTGGGGATGCAGTTTAGTGGTGAATGTGGTGATGCTGGATTAATGGTTGGACTTGATGATCTTGGAGGTATTTTCAGTCTTAATGATTCCACGATTTTGTAGTAATTTACTGACTTACTGATTTTTAGTAATTTACTGATTCAGTAATTTACTGTGAGAAACCACTATTTGCCTTCCTTTGGGCATCCTCTAGTCCAGGAATGACTTGTTTGCACAGATGGCTTTTCTTCTATCTTTTTCTGATGGGCAGATGAGACGCAAACTACATGCTCTGTGGGCTCTGGCCAGAGATTGATGCAGAGAAATACTCAGGCATTGGACGTGCCTGCCCTGTGAGGAGTCTGAGCCCTTTTTTAATCAGCAGGAAGTGGTGTGCATTTTTTCACCATGTGTGTCCCAGGACACAGACACTTTGCAGGCGTCTTGCTCTGCCTCCTCACGAGGGCTGGCCCTGCTCCAGCTCCCCCTCTGATGGTCAGATAAACCCTGTGGGTGGCTGGGAGCAGCGAGCTGGTTTAGCTACTCCACCCCACTTTAGTCACTCATTACTAGTGTTAAAAATAGTCCCAGACTGCAATGACAAACGAGATATTCTTTTGCTATGAAAAAAATACCTAAAGGTTATATAAATAAATAAATAAATAAAGACAGGAAGGATCATCCCTTTCAGAGAGGGGAACACAAGCTGTTGTTGCTTTCATTTTTGTTCAGGTGTCAATTAATTTGTCCCACCCCAGGTGAGCAAGGGACACTTCATGTACCCACGTGGCATGTAGCCTTTGGTAAACACTCACTCATCACTGGAATTTTTTACCATCTTGTGGTTTTTAATCCTCTTTCCTGGCAGGCTCTGCCAAGCAAGACAGTCCTGCTCCTGGGTAGAAGTGTTGTTGCACCACTTTGTTCTGTGATCTGTTTTCCTGTACTGTCTGTTTTAATACATTGCATGTTTTGGATTCAAGGCTCTATTTCACTTAGCTGCTGATCCACTGAGAGCTTGGTACTCCCCTGAGTTGTCATATATCATTATTCTTGGAGGATTTCAGCAGAAAACTGGTGCAAACTGGTGGTTTTGGTGCCTTGTTTGCTGGGAGAGGGATGCTCCCTTGTTTCAGGGACATCACAGGCTGTGTCAGAGGGCTGCATGTCACTGCACTGACAATATTGCTGCACAAACAACACTGTGGTTGCATCACACAGATCAGAATTTCTTTGCTGAGGGGATGTAAAGGTGGCTGAGGGGTGGACAATCAGCAGCTGGGCTGTGACACAGGGCCAAGGGCTCTCTGGAACAGCTCAGAGGATGTTTTCATGGCTGGAGCCATAACGGAGCTGGCTGAGCCAAGCTGGCTGTGGCCGCCTCAGATGTGGTATTCCCCAAAACAGGCTCCAGCAGGAGACTCTGAGTTCTCTGTGAGCCACCATGAACCTGGCTGAGCCCCAGTGCCCCTGCTGCTGGTTCACCCTCCCCCTCAACCTGCTTTCTAGGTGGGGATTAAGTTGGGGGCTGCAAACCCCTCGGAAAGGTGGCTGCTTTGCCCACCTTCATCCTCACCTCTGTACCCTCATCTCCCCTCATTGCCCCAGCCTGGACTTTGCAGATTCTGGATTTGTGTCTGAGGGGGGAAATTTGTGTTTTTCCCACTTCTCTTTATCCACATGGCTAATTCTGGATACAGTACAGGGTTATAAAAATATTATCAGGCAGCATTTCATTCTGAAATACAGCAGTATTGCATCTCCTGCTTAAGACCTTTCCACCTGAGATAGGGATAAAACAACAGCTCTTTCCCACACAGCACAATTAAAACAAAAAGTTTCTATGCTCAGAAATATAAAGCACTTGATTAACTCCCAATACCGTGTTTTACCAGAGAGAGGTGTCACTTTAGGTGAATCCCTCTACCAAACAGAAACAAATGGAGTGGATGGCAGGAAACTGAATGTACCAAGCACTCAAAGGGCATCTCTGGTAACTGAGCACAGCCTAAAATAATCCTGTACCAGCTGCCTGTTGAACAATGTCTACCTGTGCCTGGACAGCAGGGGGAAAGCACCCCTGC